AAAAGCATCATCGATAAGAATGAAGACTATTTCATGTAATAAATGTTTTGTTTTGATATATAAGTTGTTCTGGTTTTTCCATCTAAAAAAAAGCGACATTAATTTCTTGACGACCTAATAGTTTAGTAGGCTGGCTGGACCACGACAACAAATATTAAGCTATACTTAGAGCAACTTTTAAGTGCTAAACAACGTGAAAGCTGGTAATTGTAAGTTTGATTAATGATACTGTAAACATACTAATATTTGAAAGCACTTGACACTGACCTATGATGATACACGAGTTAAGGAAGAGCAACCAAACCACTCGACCTTTTCGAGCTAACTATCTTCAAGACGGGCAAAGACAGCTGCTGTAGGTTTTAAAATACAACTGAGATAAGAAAAGGGAAAGCTGAGATGTCAAAGGTTGAAGAGGTTTTGTCAGTGTGTATGACTGATGCAGAAGCACGTCGATTATATGAGGAATAAACTAATTGCTGTGAGAATTGCTTAGCAGGTGACGTTTTTACAGCAGTGTGTAAATACTCTGACACAACACTATCATATGTATGTCCTGTGTTCTTTGTTGATGTTCGCGTAATTTTCATGTCGCAAGAACAATACTGTACAATTATTGATGAAATAAGTAAAGTACGTAACGGCTGAAGTTGGGATATAAAAGAAATAATTATGATGACGGATTTATGGGAGACCCCCAAAATTTCAGTTATCGGTGCATTGGGCCTTCCAGTTTTTACCCGGATTTTTATTTTCTGCTTTAGAGTTTGCAGCACGTGTACATTATTAAAAAATCTTCAGCCACCACTACACGTGAAATAATGTTTTTATTTCAACTACATTTTCAGGCTGTAATCTAATAACGGTTTAGTAATTTTGACATAAGACTTGGTGAAATTAATGCACTTCTATTGACTGCTTGAAGAATGTTTAATGAGGTATAACTAGGCTTAAGAAATGTAGTTTTATCACTGTAAAATATGATTGTTAGCGTAAAGTACCGTCCTGCTTGAAAGGTTTTATATAATATTTGAATAGGCCTATATAACAGAACTTGTCAAGACTCATTCCGCTTTAGATACTGTGCATTGCGCAGTTAAGTGTAAATGTAGTGGAACATGTTCTTTTACAGTCGTGAAATCATATGGTATCTCTAAGACTCTTTATGTTCTATTAACAAATAAAAAACTTAAACATAATGCTTCTAATCTTTACCAATTCATCTGTAAATGTAAGGGCTTATAATGCTAGAATTTGTGGTTTGATTCCTGTGGTGGACACAGTGAAGATAGCCTATTGGCAGCTTTGTATTTAAACAGAAAAATAAATATTTTAGTATAATAATAAAAGTTTGCTAAGATATAGTATTATCATTGTATTTTCATACTGCACTAAAAAGCACATATTTGTGTATGCTATAGAAAAATTAGATCTTGCTAAGAACAGAAAAGTTTGTAAACTTAAGATGTTTATCAACCAAACCATGTGTGATGCCAATATTATATTTAGTTTACATTTTTTGTTTGTAGTTAAGAACAACGATACACAGTGGGCTATTTGTTCTGTGCCCACCACGGACATCGAAACTTGGTGTTACATATTGATTTGGCAGAAGAAAAACAAAAAGTAAATAAATGGTGACAAACATGTAAGAGTTGTATGGTGACTGGCTTGACCTTTGATACCATGAAACTGCTTAAAATTAAGAGGAATACTGAATCAAACAGATAGTAAAGAATTATTTATGTATGACTTTTAGGTCACTCGGTTGTGCTTAAAGCACCTAAAAAACTAAAAACAACCATAGACCTTCCATTCCAGTAATTTGTCATTACCTCAAACTTGTGAAAATGTTTTTGTTTATGTGGGAATACTTTTCTTCTTCTTTTTCTAATATTCGAAGTTCATTGATTAATATCGTAAAGGTGGTTTGATTATTCTGAGAAAAAAGTGAAGTTTATATTTAATAATGTTCTTATGAATGTAACTTTACTTAAAAATCTACTTATTAAATCTGAACCAAACTGGAATCACTATATATCCTGATCTAATCAATTAGCACTTTGAAGTTCAAACTGGAATCACTATATCCTGATCTAATCAATTAGCACTTTGAAGTTCAAACTGGAATCACTATATTCTGATCTAATCAATTAGCACTTTGAAGTTCAAACTGGAATTACTATATTCTGATCTAATCAATTAGCATTTTGAAGTTCAAACTGGAATCACTATATCCTGATCTAATCAATTCGCACTTTGAAGTTCAAACTGGAATTACTATATTCTGATCTAATCAACTGACACTTTGAAATTCAAACTGAAATCACTATATCCTGATCTAATCAATTGACACTTTGAACTTCAAACTGGAATCACTATATTCTGATCTAATCAATTAGCACTTTGAAGTTCAAACTGGAATCACTATATCCTGATCTAATCAATTAGCACTTTGAAGTTCAAACTGGAATCACTATATTCTGATCTAATCAACTGACACTTTGAACTTCAAACTGAAATCACTATATCCTGATCTAATCAATTGGCACTTTGAACTTCAAACTGGAATCACTATATTCTGATCTAATCAATTAGCACTTTGAAGTTCAAACTGGAATCACTATATCCTGATCTAATCAATTTGCACTTTGATGTTCAAACTGGAATAACTATATTCTGATCTAATCAATTGGTACTTTGAAGTTCAAACTGGAATCACTATATTCTGATCTAATCAACTGACACTTTGAACTTCAAACTGAAATCATTATATCCTGATCTAATCAATTGGCACTTTGAACTTCAAACTGGAATCACTATATTCTGATCTAATCAATTGGTACTTTGAAGTTCAAACTGGAATCACTAGATCCTGATCTGATTGGTTAGCATTTTCAAGTGCAATACAACAAAAAACTAAGGTTTCAGTATTATGTAAAGATTGAATGTCATCAAAAGGGCATTAGTGGACTACATCTATCACTGGAAGAATTTTACCTTATATAAACTTGTGCATAAACATCGCATAATAAAAGGTTTTGTTAGAGTGGTGAAACAATAAGGTTCCTGTTTTTTTCTACTTAAAATGGAAATTATTTTTAAATAAACCCTGTGACCATTGGTTCAATACTGGTTTTGACAGTCTTAAATGAGCACTGTAACAACCATTCATATTAATTTCCAATCAGAACAAGCTACCTACTTAGACAAAACTAAAGATTAATCCTCTAATTATTATAGTTAAATATATATTTGTTTTTTTACATTATCATTTATACAGATTATAATGCATTGTTTCATCAATTGGGTACCCTTGCATTAATAATAATTTCAGCTGTACCTTGACAATTAGTCTCAGATAAGAAGCACTCTGGCATCCATTGTAAAACGGGCACTTTGAAAACCATTCTGAGACAAACACTTTGCTAACTTGTTTTAGATGAGCACTGACACCCATTATAAGGCAAACACTTTGACAACCAGTCTTAGGTTAACACTGTGACAGTCATTCTGAGACAAGCACTCTAACATCCAATCTTAGACGAGCACTGCGATATTGACACTCTCAGACAAGTCATATGACAACCAGTCATAGATGAATAATAAAGCACCTTTACAGGCACTGTTATTTAGCAAAATCTGTTTATTATATAGAAATGCTGTTATCAACATGTGACTTCTTTTTATAACTTTGTCATCAGTTGCTATTGACTAACAGCCTAGCACTAGCATGCCACGCTTACTGACTAAGTGCTATTATGTAATAGTATTACAGTAGAATATTCTCATGTAAAGCCCGTTTCAGTAATACTATAGTGAAATAACATAAAGGGATTTAAGGTAGGCTGTGAAGTACTCCATTCAGGATATTGTATAGGGTAACCCAAAAGACGACTAAGCAAATATGTTAAATCAAGTTTTGTTTTGTGGATTTCCCACTGAGTTAACTGAAACTCACAGTAGTTTGTTTCAAACAGCAGCCTTCTAAAAACAAATCTTTATCATTGTCAAGGTGTTGCTCTATTGTGTTGTAAGTTTTCCAAACTGAATTTCAAAATATGTATTTTACTTTTATCCTATCACTTCAGAAATATCTGCTGTATGAAAGTTTGCATGTTTTGGCAACATTTCTTCTTGTTAGCCTGAGAGTTTAATAAAATATGTATTAATTTTACCACATAGAAGTCTTTTTCACTTTGATATATTCATATCACCTTCTAATTATTTACTCACAAGTAGCTACTAAGGTAGAATTAATATTTACAACATTTTTTATCACAGACTGCTCTTCACTGGGCTGCTAAGCATGGTAATGCTGATATTATTAAGTTGATTGCAGGAGCCCATCAAGTTGACACCAATATTCGAACGGTAAGTTCGTATTACTGTTAACTCGAGCACCAAATAATATGACCTGTACTATACAAACTAGGAAGACTAAGTATAGAAAAAAATAAGAAAATTATGAAACACAAAGTAAGATTTAATTCTTGTGCCCATTGTTGAAAGCTGTGTATTATTCATGTACTTATTGGTTTTGTTTAATAATTGTTAATCCATTAATTATTAAAAACATTTTTAATGATGGTATTAGTAGATTTTGTTAAGTATTATAGATACATCGCTCTTACAAGGTTTCTCTATGCTGTATTAAATTTCTGTTTGATAATTTAAGCAGTTTAGTAGAGCTCTTGTTATTGGGGAGGAAGAAATGGTTTTTAAAGAATAACATATTTCTCAACTGTATTTAGTCTTTGTATATGCAATGTTAGGCCTACTTGTGATGAGTAAATGGTGTAAAGCAAGTTGTGTGTGTACTGAAAAGGCAGTGGTTCTTATAGTGTAATATTAGTATTAAAGAAGTAACAATCTTTATAGAAAGTGATAAGGCAGTGGTTCTTGTAGTGTAATATTAGTATTAAAGAAGTAACAATCTTTATAGGAAGTCATAAGGCAGTGGTTCTTGTAGTGTAATATTAGTATCAAAGAGGTAAGAATCTTTAGAGCAAGTGATATATATGTATTGGGAAGGCAGTGAGTGGTTCATGTAGTATGATATTAGTATCAAAGAGGTAAGAATCTTTAGAGCAAGTGATATATATGTATTGAGAAGGCAGTGGTTCATGTAGTATGATATTAATATTAAATATCTAACATTCCCTAAGTAAGCAATATCATTATGGCTCTTCTAATTAAAATGTTAAAAGTCATATTTTCTTAAACTTTCTTTAATAATATTGAAAAAGTATTTTTTTTATGAAATCATTTCATTTGAAATAAAAGATTAGTTGTCGAATGTGGTAATTTTTGAATGAATACAGTTTTGGCTAAGCTAATGGTAAGTATCATCACTTTAATGCTATGTTTTTGTTGGAAATTTTAAATAGTTACTACATGTGTACCTACAGAATGAGCAGTATTACTGCTTCAATATTACATACCAAACAAGCTATTATCATGTTAATTTACTGTTAGCTTGATTAAACGGCAAATAGGAGTGAATGCCTCATATTAGCATTAATACTACATGTATTTACCATAGTGATCAGATCATGAAGTTTGCCGATTAGCATGGTAATACTGTAACAGCCAAATGTAACTCTAGTTTTTACCATACTGATAATGTGCTTAGTATAGAAGAGTTTTAAAGCACGATCTTTAAATATACAGTTAACCTTAGGAAACGGGAAATTAGTATAATTAGAACACAGTTTTGTCTTCGTAAGACAAGTAGAAGCCACTTGAAGGGAATGATAATTTTTTTTGGTGTTATTTTCTGACATTTCACCCTTTTTTAATGTCACACTCATTGTACGTTTTTCTTTCTGTTTTTACGATTGGTGTTTGTTGCTACTCAACGTGGGATTTTTGTCTTGTTTTCGCGGCTCAGAGTGTAAGTATAGTTTCACTGTTTTATGTAAGTACAGAATTGACATAACTTTAGCTTTTTTCGTTCGAACAACGTGAATGTTAATACTACCATGAAAAATAGTTCTTTACAGGGTGTGTGCGTTTAGTCATTGTTTGACAGAATCAAAACAAAATGTTATAAAAGTGAGCCATATTCTGAATTGTTAGTGTTAGTTAACACCAAAGAACAATCCGATTAAAAGCTTGGTGTATGTGTGTTAAAATGCAATGTTGCAATACCTTATCGTAATTATAGGCAAAATTTAAATAGATGTTTAAGCTTACGCTGGTTGAAGTCGACCTTATTTTGACCTTTAAAAGTCAAAATCATACAAGGCGAGGAGATACTGCAGTCTACTCTCGTGTGTTGCAAAATGGTTGTTTTTGTCGTAAGATGGCGAGATTGTACCAGTATAAACGTGGTTACTGCTAACAACAAGTGCTATTTGGAGAGTTTAGTATACATTTATTGTGCAGTGAAATTAAAACCCAAAAATTGTAGATTAAAAATCACCTAACAAATACGTAAGTTTCATGGAGATAACGAACGCTTAGATTAATCATTATATATTAAAGATATTAAACGAAAGCTTTATCCGTTCCTTTCGTTTTTATATACTTCTACGACCAAGTATTGTTTTAATTGCTAAAGTGAGAACCCTTCCCATACCCCTCTAAAAAAATATTTCACACAATATTATGGTCGTAATGCAAGTTTCAGTGAGCATTTATGCTTAAACCATCCGGAAATATATCTTAGGCCTAAAATATTTACAACTATCACAGAATTAAACGACAATTCTCAAGTATATTATATAAAAATAGTACTAAAATATTCTAAATTAATTAAACAGTTTTGCTTGACTTATAATATAACATTAATGAACTGTTGGAACTAAGTCAGGATAGCAACTGGCACGTCAAAGTGCTATTTTTTTCTGAAACTTTTTAATTACTTGAAAGATTTAAAGCGGTGAAATAGAACCAAAAATCATTTGAAAATATTCATGTGTAATTGTAGTGAACTATCCCGGCAGAGAGTTTAGATTTATAAAGTTGTTTTTACTTTCTTCTCTATGCTTTATTCCTGAACATCTTGTATTTATTTCGCCGTGACCGGAATTCCTTTTCTAACCCAGGGGGTAAGTACAGTTCCAATCTTTATAAAGCGAATATTTTAGTGATTTATTCTATAGCTTACGATAAAGTTGTTGCTGTATGTTTTTTGTTTCCAGTGTAAAGCTACATAATGGGCTGTTTGCACTGTGTCCATCGCGAGGAATCGAACTCCGGGCTTTAGCGTTTAAGTCTATAAAACCACCACTAACCCACTGGTGACCATTTTTGATTAAAACACTGTATACCCAACTTAAACTGTATTCGAACTAAACATGATATTAAGCCAGAGATCGTTTTACGGTTACAAGTTATTAACACTATTTGTCACCCCCAGTGCTTTAAACCATAATATTTACTGAGTCACATGTGATATGTATTATTGTTTTCGCAACAGACTCGTTTTTTTCATTTTCTTTAATACAAAATAGAATGGGCCGTGCGTGATTTAGTAGTTAACATGACGGTCTGCGGGTTGTAGGATCAGGGGTTCAAGTTATGATGCCGCTAAACATGCTCCGTACTTTTATTTGTGAGTGTGGTATAAAAGTGAAAGCCAATTCCGTTATTAGGTTCGAAGAACCAAACAAAGCATTTGTAGCGGCGGGTGCTTCTGGCTAGCTGCCTTCTCTCTGATCAGTAATTCAGAATTTAGGACAACTATCACTGTGGCCTGACATAATCTGGTGGTAAGGGCTCCCAATCTGCAGATCCGAACATGCTCGTTCTTTTAGCTGTGGGAGCGTTATAGTGTGACGGTCAATCCCACTTTTCGTAGGTAAATAGTAGGTCGAGAGTTTGCGGGGGGGGGGGTACTGCCGGTTAGTTGTTTTCCCCTTTTGTCGGCAGTTCAAAATTAGGAACGACAGCAGATAACATTAGTAACTTTACCATAAGCAAACAAATAAACTATGCCTGAACGCTAGACCTAAAGTTCTCTGACCTGTCCGTTTAAGCCTATGTGCGCAGAAAAAAAAATGCTGTTCGGGTTGAAAATTCTATTTCATAGCATTTCTCATACACTGTTAGAGAGACTATCATTTTGAGTATATATATATATATTATTTTCTTACTTAACACAAACTTATTAGGTGTATGACAAGGTTTTAGATATTTTTAAACTTTCAAGTTATTTTTACTCTAGGGTTACAGTATGTAATATACGTGATGTTTACTGTTATTCAAAGTAATAAGTAGAAAAATCAACATCTGAAGGTAAAATTTGGTGATGTCCGAACATCGTCGTCCATGAACGATTTGGCCAGGTGGTTAGGGCACTCCACTCGCAATCTGAGGGTTGCGGATTCGAATCCCCGTCACACCAAACATGCTCGCTCTTTCAGCCGTGGGAGCGCTATAATGTGACGATCAATCCCACTATTCGTTGGAAAAAGAGTAGCCCAAGAGTTGGCGGTGGGTGATGATGACTAGCTGCCTTCCCTCTAGTCTTACACTGCTAAATTAGGGACGGCTAGCGCAGATAGCCCTCGTAGATGGCTATGTAGTTTACGAATCTCGTACATTGTAGAATTTCACCATGCTTACTTGCTTTAACGTGATCACTCACCAATATCTGGTATCGTTTACAGACTTGTGGTGACGACATTTGTTCAGTAGTTGTTGTTGTTCGTTAAACAGTTGAAGGTGAAACTGATTAGTTCAGCAACAACTTGAACTTTTTCTTTGCCCCCTGCTGAGTCAGCGGTAAGATGACGGACTTTTGCAACGTTGTGGGCAGAACACAAGTAGCCCATAGTGTAACTTTATGCGAAAACAAAGCAGTCTTCCTTGAATTCATATTATGCACCCATAAAAATAATGTTTTGGGTACAACTGTAAGGCTAACAAAATGTTCAGTTATAAGTTATGTTTCTATACAACTGACTTATATATAATGTATTTCTCATTGTCTTGATTGTGATTTTTAACGCGTGTATGTATTTTTATGATTAAATGACGTTGCTAAGTTTACCTTCTGTTAGTTGCTGAGTGTCAGAAAATAGCGTCGATTATATTGACCAATATTAAATCGTACAAATGGTACGCTTTACCTTTGAAAAAAAGGGGTGGGAGGGTTCTCTCTGATTTTACACTTTTTTATTTTGTCATCCCGACATAAATAATTCTTTATCTTTTTTCTCGCACGTTTTCATATTGATGTTAGCCGTTTCAAGTTCTCTCTGATTTGACACTTTTTTATTTTGTCATTCTGACTTAAATAATTCTTTATCTTTTTTCTCGCACGTTTTCATTTTGATGTTAGCCGTTTCAAGTTAGCAGTAATCAATTTGAAGGCATCGGGGTGTTTCATAAGATTTTTGACAGCCTCTTAGATCGCTGCTTGCTACGAGTTTCATTTGGCATGCAGTATCTGTCAAGTCGAGCCGTCAGCTGGGAACGGACGGCACGCCGGCTCACTGCCGTCACAGGGGATTAGCCCTAGCGCCGATAGTAATCATTCTCGTAGCGTAAAACCTCTTTGTGCTCTTGTGGCCCAGTTTGTATGCACTTCTAGGAACGTGACAGCTGGGTGAGATACAAACACTGTGTGTGGAAAGATTGGCTTGATTAGAATGTTGCCTGCAACAGATTCTAACCCATTACATGTCACGTCTGTTGCCCCAACGTGCTTTTTTAAGAACTAGGGAATAGGCTCTCGATGACCGGTTGACGTCACCAATTCTTGTACACTATAGACGTCTTGCCAAAATGTCATATAAACACTACTCTGCTCTTAGTTATGTAGACAAATACACATGTAAACACACCAATTAATACACACGCTCACACACATACTAAGTTTATAAGAATCTTTAAATTTAGTAAGAGTAGTTTTATGATATTTAACTGTTTTGAAACAGTACAGCGACACATATAAATATTTTCTTACGTCATACGTTGTAAAACGAAAGGTCATGAAGAGTGTTAGCACGTGATATTAATTGGTTTATTAACTAAGTGAGTATTGAGTACAGAGAGCAGACCCAACAGATAGCTCTGAATTCAGTTCAATCATGCACAGAGTGACCACGAACCTGGAAAGGTCAGAAGTGCTTCAAAATTATCCCAAACCCCATCTCCCCCCCCCCCATATCTTTGACATAATCTCTTAGTTCAAATCTATAACTAGAGTCTAAAAGGGGGACTGCCTGAGGTCCCCATCAAGAGCAGAGCACTGATGGTGGAAGTGGAGGAGGTTTCAGGGGGCACATCCCCATAGTGGAAGATGATTTTAATCATTTTAAAGAGGTCTAAAGAGTAACCCCTAGCTTAATTTTTGAGTTATCAGAATCAGGCAGTGGTTCTGTAAAATACCTCTGTTTTCGATGATACCATCAAAAAACAAGGAACATTATAAATAATATTTTTTTCACAGACTGACAAAAAACATGTGCAAGTTTATAGTTAGTAACCTAACCCTTTAATTACATTCGTATGCTAATGATCTAATAGTTGGTATGAGTTACAATCAGAATAGATGTGTAATTATTTATAATTCATGGTTTAAAACGTTTTGGAAAAATCTTTCCAAAGAAAATGATTAATTTTATTAGTGAAAAAATATGGCATCATATAAAACACCTAAGGCTTGTGCTCAGCAAAATATCAGATGAGAAAATTGCCTTGTAATTCATTATATTTGATGATAGTTTGGATTAAATATTTTTTTTATGAATAAAATTGAAATTATTCATAGATTACTATCAATTTGCAGTATCTTTATTTGAAGACCTTTTTTTTTATCTAGTACCACGCACAGCCTGATGTAAGTTAGTTCTGAATATTTTTTTACCCTTTATAACCATATTACAAGTTAAAGTGACATTAATTAGATAGAATTTTGAGAAAAATTTAAATATCATGAACATGTGCACGTACAGGGGAAGTTTGCCTGGAAAGTCAGGGAAAACATTTTTGGAAATAATAGGTCCACTTTGATGCAAATCATGAAACTGGTGTGACTGATGGTGATGATATTGACTCAAGTCTGAGTATCAGTGTCTACATTCTTGGTTAACTTAATATAACAACTGACTTTCTAACATGTAGGATAACTTTCTCATCACAAAATTAAATCCAAAATGAAAGAGTTTTTATTATTCTGATAAAGACATATAGCTGTAATCAGTATTGTTGTTATTATTATTATTAATACACATTAATAGTTGTTATTATTGTGGTAAAGTTGAATAGCAGCAAATATCATTGTTCATGTGATTACCTATAAAAATATAATAGTACTGTCTGTTGTATGTCCATGTAACTACTTCACAGGGTGTAGATGGATCTTCACCAAAATTGGTACAGAGGCTCATTAGGTCCAAGTGGGGGGTACATACAAATTTTCAGTTTTCTGTTTTACAGTTTTCATGGGTGTTTTTGCTTTTTTTTGCCACTACTTCGCCCCCTGTAGATGGATCTTCACCAAATTTGGTATGGAGGCTCATTCGGTCCAAAGTGGGGGGTACATACAAATTTTCAGTTTTCTGTTTTACAGTTTTCATGGGTGTTTTTGCTTTTTTTTGCCACTACTTCGCCCCCTGTAGATGGATCTTCACCAAATTTGGTATGGAGGCTCATTAGGGAGATAGATACAAGTTTTCTGTTTTGAATTTTGCAGTTCTTATTGGCGTTTTGGCAATTTTTACAATTATATATAAGGGAAGCAATTTTTTTTGTCTGAAGATAACCTTTCATTAATCATGAATTTACATAACTTCTGTCCAGGAGATGGGTACTCCAGCTAGTTGTGAATATGTTTAAGTAGTTGTTAATACTGCAGTAAAGTTGTACAGCTGCAGCTGTCATTGTTGTTATTGTTATAAGTATATTTAAATAGTTATTATTATTGTGGTAAAATCTTATAGCTGTAGCCATCATTGTTGTTATTATTGTTATGAATAAATCAGTATGTTTAAATAGTTATTATTGTAAAGTCATATAGCTATTGTTGTCTTTATTACTATTATGAACATGTTTCAGTAGTTGTTATTACTGTGGTACAGTTGCAGCCATCATTGTGAAGATGTGCTCCAGTTTACACTTGCACCACCATTTTTGCCAAACCATACTGGTGTTGTATTTTCTTTAGACTTTTTTTGTTGTGAGCTGTGTAGCAATGCTGTGATTGCACATATAGCATCCAGTCTGCAGGGATTTTGTTGTAACTCAATTTTCCACTGGAAATTAAGGACATTGTTATGTGATTATTTATCTAGAGACCATAATGTTGATAAATGACATATATCTTAATGTGTTATTACAAGAGTACATAAGCATGTTTGTACTTGATGCTTAAAGTTCCACATCATGTGATAATACATGCATGTAACATAGAAAATGTGTTTTCCATTCCAGGGTTATACAGCACTTCACATTGCAGCAATGGCTGGGCATGAGGGAATCATGGAGTTACTGACCAGCACATATGGTAAGTTAATTACACTGCCAACTTCATATTCATGTATAGACATATGTTGATGCTTTTATTGTTTATCCTTTCATTGTTTGTCTGTCTTAACTATGTATGTTCATTATAGGTCATTAATATGGCTTTTTGCTGTTGCTCAAATCTGACCATTATTCTGTCCATTCCTGATGTTAAAAAAAAACATGTAGGTTCAAGAAATCAATTTAATACAAAGATACAATACCCTATTATCCAAGTGCTTTTGAAAGGTGAACCTCTTGAAAGCACTTGAGTTATAGTTCATTATTTCCATTCCCATATTTGAGGATTAGCATCAGTTGAGTTGTGTGGTTGACCTTCCATTTGTTGGTTTAGTTAATAATAAATCCATGTTTTATCAAACTATAAAATAGAGTTTTCTGTATCATATGGAAACTATGGTTTCAAGTTTTGTAAAAACCTTAGAGTTATTGACATATGATTTCTTTACTGTAACTCAAAATATGACATAAATTTACTGGAATAGCAAGCATATATGTTATTAAGTGTAACAGTTTTAATGTACATGTTTTTTATTAAAGTTGTCCCGGCATCTTAAAAGCTTCTGTAATTTTAGTATGAATAGTTATGATTAACAGCAAAAAATAGGAATAATGGGATGGGAACATTAAAAAAAATTCAACCAAAAGGTAATGTAATAAGAAACTTTAATCAGAAGATGCAGGCTTAAGAAGTACAGTTTATTGATAAGAATTATTTACATCTAGTGCATTTCCTATTATGTGCTGAGCTGTAAATGAAGGCTGGTTGATATTAGTAAAGTTTAATGTTGAAAACATTCATGTATCTTTACCTAAAGACATCTAACTATTATGTCACTGCTACTGTCACCTAACTTGTGATTGTATCCCCTCTTGCTGTAAGATCTTAGATTCTTGTGTGTGTGTGTGTGTGTGTGTGTATATATAATCTTTGATTGATTAAAAATTGTGCACAGATATTGAGATTTGAAGTCACTTTGTTCCATAAAAACAATGTCAAGTTAAATTTTGTGTGCATGTGTGTGTTTTATGAAGCTTCATTTTGTTAGCTGTTTAGTTTTTTTTAAGTTTTCTTTTTTGTGGTGCTTCTGTAATCACTGTCAAACACATGTGCTAGATGCATTTAAAAATACAAACTTTGTGGTAAATTTAAAATGTGGAAAAAAAATCAGCAAAATGATATATTGTGCAATTCATAGAGGTATTTTCACCCTTTCATATTCAATGAAACAAAGAGATTGAGACTTACTTAAATTGATAAACTCATTTCAGAAAGTACTGTTTAGGAAAAGGGCCATAATATTCATCCATGTTGAAATTAACAAATTCTAGATTAAATTAATTTTAGAAATTCATATTTTAAAGGACAATTCTGAAATTTCTACTACTGCAGAAAGTGACAAAGTTAGAACTAAGCTGTTTGTAGAAAGCACTGTTTAAAACAAAAGGGGTGATATTTGTTACTATTAAAGATAATTTTGATTTGGCTAAGTTTAAAAAAAAAATCGTATTATAAAAAATCTCTGACTTTTATGTACTAATGATGCCACCTATTCATTTGAGTTAGTTGTAGAAGGCTCTTTATTTTCATATTTTTTATGATAACGTTAGAAAGGGAGCCGTGTTGTCTGTGGACATGACACATGAATGTAAAGATACACTGATTAAGTGTATTGGAAAGGAAATGTCAGTTTTTTTATTTTCATGAAAACAGAAGGAAAGGAACTATGTTGTTTTGAAAGGTGATATGCAAGTTAAGAGCAGTGAGAGCACAGGATGGAACTGGTTTTGAAAGCCAGTTGTTTTAAAGATGTGAGAACATGGTGTTAACAAAGTGTTTTTGTAGTATGATAGTATATAGTCAAGCTGTGTATACATTAGAGAACCTCAAACGTTGGTTTAGAGTAATAAGTTAACAAGGTCACAATCTTTGGGGGGTTTGTTTTAGAAATTCTAGAAGACTAGTGGTGACTCTGGGTTTCAGTTACTCAGAATATGCAGAGTATACTATTGGTTTCCTCTTATCTGTACTTTGTAATCCTAGAAACATCAAGAATCAATGGCATCATAAAACTTTTTTTTTTCAACAGAAACTTATTAAATTATGATTTCTCTTAAATTCACAGTAGAATGAAAACAAAGTGGATGATTTTCATTACTAGAACCATGTTATTCTTATTGTATAAAAATGATTCTATAATTACATATCATTTAAACTTCAGTATTATGTATGTCTGTTGTACAGTGTAATAAAACTTGTGAGAGTGTTGGCTACTGTAATTACCAACCTAGTGGGTTAGAACTGTTTTGTTGCTTCAGTCAACTATGATACACTCTTCTATAGATCTAACATTACTGGAATAAAGGTTAAAGTGTTTCTTGTATATCCACTTGTCAAAATACATTTGTTGGTTGTTAACTTATTTTAGGAATGGAAGATTGAATGAAATTACTTTCAAATTACATCTATGGTTCCTGTTACACATGTATTGACTTTTTTCCTTCTCAAATGAAGGACAGAATTTTCTGTGATGTATAGAGTTAATGTTATTTGGTTAGGTTTTTTAGAAGTACAGCATTGTTTCTGTTGGTAGAGTTATGTTAATTTGGTTAGTTTTGTTGAAGAACTGGATTGTTTGTATTGGTAGAGTTAATGTTATTTTGGTTAGTTTTGTGGAAGAATAGGATTGTTTTGATTAGTTTTATAGTACTTAAGACAGTTGGAGGTATTGTTTTTAATCCATGGTTATAGCCTTATTGTATCCAAAAGATTAGAATAACACCCACTTTGTGATTGTTTATTTTCTAAAATATGTATTTGTTTGCTGAATCTCAAAGGCTATCTGCTTCTAAAATATGCTAAAGTACGTTCATATAAGAACTTAATTTCAGTTACATTAATATTGTTATGTATTGTTCTGGGTCATTCATCTATGGTGTCATGTGCACTTTCTTGTGGAAAACATTGTTGTAAAGTCATACTGTGTAAAGGTAGACAGTAATCTGTACCACTGGCAGGTGAGGTGATACCTTGAGGTTACAATATTCTATGATGGTAATGACTAACAATAATTATTGTTTCGTTTATAAAATGCTATGTTTTCTCAATTTGGAACAGATATTTGCATCTTCACAATGATTTCTAGAAGCTCAAGTAAAGGCATCATTCTTTCATAAATAGACATATTCTGGTTCTTTTCACTATATTTTATACTGTGTCCACTCTCTTTCTTTTTCACAACTCAGTCAGATATCTGAGATGTCAAATTTACTTCCACAAGACATTTTCTGCTCAAACTACATGTTATTCCATCACTGTACCTGGGAATACCACAGAGTAATTAGGAAAGAGAAAATTTTATTGTGATAACCACAGGATTTGCTTTTTCCCTCTGCTTGTCTAAACTCTTGCATTATTAAGTTTAAAGCTTTGTTGTACTTGAGGGTAGATAGCTATCAGAGGGTGTAGACAGATCTCAGCAAAGTCTTCTCTTTTACACTGGACATTTGTCAATGCACGAAGGGCCATGACTTTGCTCCCATTACTACCACAGGCTTGGGATATAGAATTATTGGAATCTGGTGCACCTGGAACTGTTGATCAATTTATCCTCCAGAGGATCAATCTCAGTGCACAGAAGACACATGTGACTGAAAGTTGTTGCATTGATGTGCAATCTTGCAAGTGCAAGACTGAATGGAGTGGTGTCTATAGAACTTTCAGACATTTGCTGACAAGAGAAGCTCAACCCTGGCATTAGACAATGCTACCAAATACCAATCAAGAAAACTGGAAGTAACACTGGTGGACAACAGTAACTAGCTTGAGCTGTTATTCTTGTAGGCAAGACAGCAAGCATTATCTGGTGAAGAAAGTAATCCATGGGGCAGTCCTAAGCCTCTCCATGGGATAGTTACTGCCAGGTTGACCAAGGATCATAAAGATACCAGGAATCATGCAGATTCCATGGATGAAGTGCCATTGGTAACTTGTTGTTCTGCTGCCCACAAGCATGGACCTAATGCTTGTCCAAAAATAGAGTTCACTGAGTACGTCCACCACACTGTACCCTTGGTGTTTAGAACTTCTCAGTCTGGTGTTGGCCAAGTGGCAACAAGGGATAGCTTACTGCTTGGAATGACTGGACTCAGGAATGAGGTATTCAATGCTTTATCTTAAAAGCTATCTATTGGGTCTAGTTCTAAGCTCGAAAGAGTAGTCCCACCAAGAGCTTATAGATAAACTGCACCATTTTCATGGGAAGGCATACCCTATAGTGACTTTGGCAGATTGTGAGGATATCCTATTAGCCATCTGTATTGAGGAGCTACCTAGTGATATGATGAATCATCATTTAGAGACCTCACCTTGATGGAGGCAGTTTCTGTTGAAACGAGGTTCAGAGTTGGAACTTCAAATAAGTTGCAAGAAAGGAAAAAGCTCCAGTGAGTACATCATGCTAAACTCTAGCATTGCTAAAGGCAAACCAACAGCCAACTCATTCCAGCATTGTGACACAGCACCACTAGATACCAGTGAGTGAACAAGGCTTTCCTGGCCCTGCCAGGATTTTGTATCATAGCCAATGTTGATGATGCTTCTTCCTGTATGTTGCTCTTAAAGGAAGGACCAAAGACATTTTTTTGGGTGTGTGCAACTGAGTGACTTTAAAAAGAACTGCTTGTATCTCATTTCACAGCAAGATAGGCAAACCTACTAGTTTTGCTAAACTGCACAGCAGGTGCAGGAGGATCATCAGCAAGCTATAGCTGTTGTTATCTCAGCTGTGAGAAACTAATGGACCCCAAGTTGAGTATGGCCACTGATTTGGAGGAGTACAGTGGACAGTTGGAGCAAAAAGGTTTGGTGGTCAGTCCAGCTTTCTCAGTGCTGAGTGGCACTTGGTATGTGCCAGTGAAGGTACAGGCGTGAGAGAGAGTTTTTTGTTGATACAGGAGCTGCCAGGATTATGGTTTATA